GCCGAGTAGCTTAGCACTGTGTGAATAATACACACCGGATAACAGCCTTCATCAAGAGTTCACCTATAATTGACACAGCTTAGCCATACACAGGCCCAGCTTACCATGTTTGCCCTAAAAAGTGCAGTTTTTCTACTAGATGTGTGGCACCCTATGAATGCCACTGTAAGAGTCCACCAATCCCGGATGGCTCAAGAGTGGTTATTGAAGAAGTTGTTTCTTCACACATGGCGAGTCACACATGTTTGAACTTAACTTGAAGACATAACGGGCAGTCAATGGGTCAGCATGGCCGACCAAGCAATAGGACAGCTCATCGCGTTTAGTTAATATACTTGCCATTGGTACAAACTTCCAGGTATAAATCCAAATCCTATCGCCTGCAAATGTTTGCAACATCCCGTGGAAGCTTCACGAGTCTGCAGAAGAAGATCTGCCCTCTGCTACTGCTAGAGATTACTAGAACCTGGAAAGTGTGGTCTCATGAAGAACATCAGTGGCTTTGTAGGTTGGTGGTAAGTTTTTGGACTGGAGCCGACATCACCTGAACATCATGTTCATTTTGAGCCTTCATGTCATCGAGCTTCAAAGCCACAAATTTGAGCCGTGCCCGGCCGCACCATGCCGCCTCCGCGTTCCCACCAGTGGGAAGCAGAGATCTGTGGAGTGCCCACTGCCTTTGCGACATGGCTGAATGGGTCAAATGGTGGCAGCACCGACCCTACAGGATGACCCATCTAGCAGTCCATTAACAGTATGTGTTGGTCAGTGTCTTGGTTTTTAGCTATGGTCAACTTGGTCAGCCCCTTTCGTGGGAAGTGTTCTCGGCACTGGGAAGCACCAGCCAAACTGGCATGGTAGGATTCCACAAGCCCATGGCAAATGAACAAATCTCAGCTGCTTCAATCTGGTTGGAATGAGTGTGCCCATAGGATAGCATGTTCCCCCAATGCTTGAAGCAAGGCACAACATCGTTTTCACCTCAGTCGACGATGTGAGTCTTGCTGGATGCCAGATGTTTGCACGAAGTGGGACATGTTCTGAAACCACTCGTAACCACTCTGGAAGCTGCATTGCTGTATTCCAACAGCAGATGAACTGATGCTCCGTGTAGTTGTGGGCACAAGGGGTTTTGCGATTGGTGGGTTGTTGGCTTGAGACTGTTGGCCAAGACCCGATTCGATGGCCTTCTGTGAAAGGATGAGCATCTGTGGAATGAGATGGATCTCTCGGAATGTCCTTTGGACTGGCAACGGCTGAGATTCAATTGATTCTGGACAACCAACAGCGTGCATGCGCTTAAGAACCTGACACTCTTTACGCAGTACGTCGCTTAGTGACCATGACTCTAGAGTAGGGCTTTTCATGACGATTCGAAAAACAACTGTGCTAACTTCTAACCTTTCATGACCGGATGTCCTTCCACCTGACTCCACAAGACATGTCTCTTTGTGCCTCAGAGCCCAGCGAGGTCATCACAGATTTTGGTGGCCCAGCAGCAGTAGTGGGCTTGAGTCATGACTCATGATGCGTCACGAAACGAAAGTTGGACCAAAGACACGTGTTTCTGAATTTCCATTGTTGGGAGACTTTCCTAGTCTACACGATGTCCTTTGCTTTGGGCAATCACTCGGCATTTGCTAAGCAAGACGCATGGCTAGGAAGGCAAAGTACCCTTTTCTAGCTTGTTTGTGGCGAAGGAGCCAGTTGGATTGCTTGCTTACTTGATCAAAGAAGGTTTGGAGCTTTGGTCAACTGGTCCATGGTTCCACTGCACTCGGAACTAGACATGAGTGATGAGGTGCTTCAGGGTGCTTCCTAGTGAGGGAGCTGGAGGTAACTTTGTGGCTGAAAGTGGGTGTTGGAAGCACATTTATAGTAGACACAACATGTATATTACAATTTTTGTGATGTAGGTATATGTGGCAGCCATTGCTGGTTGGTGGCCTCCTCGTTTAAGCCACATCTCAAAGAGTACACGCAACACATCGGCCTTTTGTGCTTCTTTGGTGGTTGGCTACCTGGAGAACTTCCCCGCGAGAACTTCTCGCGATTCGGATGCGAGCTCAGGCGGAGAGCTCTTCTTCACCATCTCGCAGAGTGGAAAGATAGCGTCCTTGATCCAGGCAAAGGGTCAAGTTCCAGTACAGTAGACCCCTGACATGTTTCAGGAGGCTGTGTAGATTCTTTTTTACCACCATCAGAGGATGTAGCGATACGCTTGAAGCTACTGGTGCAATGGAAATCCGCCCTGCCAACAGTAGGAGGTTGTTGTATTTGTTTGTGGCCTTATCAGTTCATAAGGGTAGGCAAGTAAACCCCCACCCTCCGCGAGGATACACTTGCCTCGTGAAACTGTTATGTGGCGATTGCACGTGTTGATATGCTGCGACTGTTGGTCTGTTGAAGTGGAGATCCTCCTGATGTGGAGATCGTGGAACACAAACTGCTGATCCGCAAGCGACACAGATTTAATCGTTAATCAGTCGTGGCTCTTCCTCCAACGTGACACTTCTCTTGTGATTGTACTTACCCAGGAGTCATCATCCACGGGTTTTCGGGGTAGCCACTCAGCAGCCACCTTTCAGCTCAAGCACACTGTGTGCAGCTTCACCTCCAGTGAAGATTTCCTCCGTGCAAGGTGGGTGGATGTGGGGTATGAAGGGAAAGGAAGAATGAAAGCAGGCAAACACTGCACTGACTGGATTCAGATTCTCGCTGGTATGCAAGCCAAGATCGTGTTCTATATGTTGCATAATTTGCAACTCACCAATGAATTTGTTTGTTCCCAAAGGGCTTCTTGGCTTCGGGGACGTATCCCGGGAAACGTAGAAACTAGAACCTTGTGGGCTCATGATTGGTGATTCCTCTTCACCCGGACTGATGTCCTACTCAAAGGTGATACCACCGTTGAACAACATGTTTTGCTTTGTTGTCTTGAACCGCACCATGCAGGGAGGGGTCCTTTGTGCTAAGCCAGCTCCCGGACTTGCGCCGCTTGATTCTTATCCCACCCCTGCCAGCGGCTGATCCCTTTAAGACGGGGGTGAGGTTCCATGAAGCGTTAAGGAACGGGGCGTCCCCCCAGATCGGTCAGAAGAAGATAGTACGCAAACTAAGACTTTTGCTTGGGATTTGTTGGACATGACCGGATGTGTATCGCAATGAGCACTTCCCAAGCCGGACCGGGCTGACATAACATTGCTGACCTGCCTGACCCAAGTTGACAAAGCTCTTTCTTCCCTTGCAGCCCTCGACCAAAGTGCATCCTGGAGGTCTGAGAATGGCGGCGGGCTGTGAGGCACGGAGGGGGTACAGGATGCAGTGAAAAATGAGAGGGCTTAACGTGGCAGTGCTGGGACGTGCTGGGTTACAAAGATGCAGATGGTATGTAAAACTGAAGGACTTGAGGACTTGATATGCAGGTCTGTGAGGCCAGCATGTTAGGTATGTGTAGAAGGATGGAACTTGAAACATGGCAAACTGTGCACTTTCCCGCCAGGAACGACGCTGGATCGTGCCGGAGGAAACTACTCCTAAAGCTGAGGACATTTCACAAATTCACCTTCCTGACACTGTTGATCCTTCCATCTTCAAGCATGCTCTTGAAGTGGCACGGAGCTTCAACACATTTAATCAACAAAGAACGGGCTGTATGTTGGTGTTGGGCGATCCAAACATGTTTTGCCACCGTTGGAAGCCGATGAAGGCTCCGTGGACAAACCCGGTCATGGGGAAATACATTTTCAATTCAGAAATTGAACAACTCTTGCGGGAAAGCTTTGCGGACGACGGGATGATGGTGATCAATGGTGCAACTGGAGAAATATGTGTAGCAAATTTCAATGTTTCCTGGAAAGCATCTAACTATTATGCGGGGTTGGGTTCGCGGCATGACGTACTGCTTCAGCTCGCAGCAGAATTGCCCTGTGTCACTATGGCCCGCTCGAGCAAACCGGAAAGAGCAGGTGTGAGGGTGTATTCTTCTCAGCACCTAAAATCGGATTTGCCACAGTCTTTCTGTATTCAGGAGGCTGCTCCAAACACAAAGACTCAGCTGCAGAGAGTACTTTCGAACATTCGTCGTCCTCCCACAGTTCGTGAAGACATTCTTAAATTTGCTGTTGCCATGGCATTGAGGTTCGTGACCCTTTGCGATGGTATTTTGCTCCTGTGCGACCCCAACACGTTTCATGCAATTCCCAAGGCGGCGCCTGGATCTATTCGGGATGAACAATTCTTACGAGATAGCCTTCGACGATGCGACGTCGTGTTGATCAATGGTGAAACTGGACAAACAGGGCAAGTTTCATTTTCCAGCGTTTTGAAATTACTCGTCGTGCAGTCTGCAGCAGAGTGGTGCTGTGTGTCCATCCGCCGCTTTTCGAGAGAAGGTATGATGGGTGTGATTGTGGGCTCATCTGAAGAACTGAGAAAGCATGTGCAGGACCGCCAACTGGAGCGGCTGCTTGAACTGCAATCGGCGCTTGGCGCCACTCGATTAGCCGACCCTTTCTTTCCTTTAGCTGGTCCTTTAGCTGGTTTTCTCTTCGGTGTTGCTTCTGTTCCTTTATGGCTACCAATGCTCGCCTTGGGTTCAATTCTGAGCAATCTAGACTTAGACTCTAGACCTAGACGTGCTCGCCTTTGAGCAGATCCAAAGTGGCTGCTGGCGCTAAGTGTCACCGTAAGCACAACAGAGAAAAACGTAAGCCTTGCGTAACGCCTACTGCGTTTCTGATCGTGCAGGTTGGTCTGATCCTTTTTGTCCGTGGCGTTTGTTGGATCAGGCCAGTAGCCTGCAGGTCTGCCCTTGAGGCATCAGGGTGTAGCGACTTGGCCATGAGCGCTTGAAAAGGTTGGCTGTGTGTTTTCATTTGAGGAGGACTTCATTTGCGTTGAGTTGTGGTTGGTCATAGGTTTGATCAAAGAGTGTTGACGGGCTACCAGTTGAAACTGGTAGCGGAGCCCCTCACGGGGCCCGCGTGGAGAAAGGTGGCATGTCGCATGAGCAGACGAAGGGTGAGTCGGCAATCCGTCGGTTCAGTGGAGACGGAGGTGATCCTCAAAAGGACTACAAGTTGTGGAAACGCTGGTCCCGTGCGTATTTGGCTGTCCAGAGAGCAAAAGGTACCGATGACTCAGTTTTTGGTGCAATGCTGTTTACAATGTTGGATGGAACGGCGCTTCGCGCATTCGACGCTGTGAACATGGATGAGCTGGAGCAGACTGGCGGACAAGACTTGGTATACCAGATTCTGGATGAGAGGTTTCCCGAAGAAGCAGTTCACGATCGTTTGGGTGAGGTGCTTGACAAGGTGTTTGACCTGAAGCTCGAGAAGGGCGAAACTACATCTGGACATACTGGAAGGGCCAGGGCAGCCTTCAGTGCAGCCGAAGCTGAAGGTGTAAAGCTGCCATCCGTGGCCAGAGGCTATTTGTTGCTTCGCAATGCCAAGTTGCCGCAGGACAAGAAAGCTGTTGTCATGGCGGCTTCCCGACAGTCCTATGAGGAGCAGGACATTGCAGCTGCTTTGAGAACGACATACCCAGAAGGTCTCTATGCCGGACGGCATGGAAGTCATGTGGCTGCGTGAGTGATCCGCCGGAAGATGAGGATGTGGGTGACATCGGCGAAGTCTTCTTGGCGGAGGATGAGGAGGGCCTGTTGGGTGGTGAGGACGCAATAGAGGAGCAAGATGCTGTGGACGTGTTGTTGTCATGGAAGCAAACACGTCAGAGCATTTCCAAGGAAAAACTATCACGCGGGCTAAGTTCAGGTGGCTTGAAGAAACTGGAAGCCCGTGTCAAATGCTTCAAGTGTCAGAAGGTGGGCCACTTCTCCCGCAATTGCCCTTTGCGCAAGGGAAAGGATGGAGGAAAAGGTGATAGCTCGAGCAGTTCGACCAAGGTGAGCTTCGTTTGTATGGTGAATGAATCAGCTGCCGACGACGGGGAGAGCCAGATTGATGCCGTGATGCGCAGTTGGTCAGAGCGACCTCGTGACAGCTGGACCTTCGATGAGAAAGAAGTCATTCGCCATCATCCCAAGGACTTCTTGTTCAGCCCTGCTCGAACTGGCTGTCCAATACCGCTCAATGAATTGAGTATGGCCCGCATGACTGTCATGAAGAACAGTGATGGCACGACCGAAGAGCAGTTTGCACCGAACTGGAAGAACAGTTTGGAGGCACACCGCAGGACAGACAAGACATGGACTGGAAAGACCATCTTCTACCGCGTACAAGGTCATGGTGATCCAGAACCAGAAGACCTTCGACAGTTGAGTGATGAGGCTCTGTTCCGCCTGTTCGACCCGGAGGATGTGGTGTACGGCAGTGAATATGCCTACCAGGTGGAGGGTGTCGACCAGGAGGTGGAGGAGCTTCAACAAGACGATCAATGGGAAATGGTCGAAGGAGATGAATTTCCGGGGGCTTTCAAGGAGCCAAGCAGTGGTGAAGAAGATGGAGAATCACGACCGCAAGAGAGCAACTGCGGCCTGGTTCATGCCGCAGGATATGGAACCCTGGACACTGGATGTGGCCGTGGCTTGGTCGGTGAAAACACACTGGCGAGGCACATTGAACGCCTAGAGGAACATGGTCATTGCTACAAGGAACTGCCTGAGAAGATGCACACCTTCAGGTATGACAACGGCTCAGCAGATCGCACTGGAAGACGAGTGGAGCTGCCAGTATTTGTGGCTGGTCGGGAACTTCGTGTGAGGCTACATGTGGTTTCAGGTGATGTTCCACTGTTGATTTCAAAGGGGCTGCTGAAGAGCCTTGGACCCATGATCGACTTGAACACCAACAAGCTGGTTATGACAAAGGCTGGCATTGCAGCGCCAATTCATGAGATGAAGGACAACTCCTACCAGATCAATTTGCTGGACATGGAGAAGGGCGTGGGCATCACCTCACCCGAGGTGGACGTGATGAAAGTAGATGCTTTTCATAAGGCCTCCAGCCAGGAGGAAGATGAAGAAGAGATTGGCGTGCATTGTGTGTTCAAGGCCAAGGAGAGAAAGCAGGTGGCAGAGAACATGTCAGCAGTTCTGGCTCAGAACCAATGTGAGGCACCTACGGTGATGGAGTTCTTTTCGCCGGGTCGCTTCCAAGAACTGGCAGGGCAGTGTGGCATGGTTGGACGAGGTGCCTCGGATTTGAGTGAAGGATGGGATTGGCGGAGGAAGGAAGATAGAACTAGAGCAGAACAGGCAATTACCATCGCCGATCCTGATTTTTCAGTGTTTTCACCACCTTGTGGACCGCTGTCACTCATGCAGAACTTGACCCCAGAAGATAGGAGAAGTGATCCCAAAGGACATCAACTAGAGGTCAAGCAGGCTAAGGACATGATCAGATGGTCACTGAACCAGGCTGAATTGAGGATTGAACACGGTCGTTTCTTTGTTTTCGAGTCGTCCAAAACCAGTGGTGCTTGGCGAACACCGGAGATGCAAGCCTTTGCTCGCAAGCATAGTCCTTTCCTAATAGATGTACCCGCATGCTCAGTAGGCTTAAGGGACCCACAGACCGGACTTCTGTTTGGAAAGAGTTGGCGATTCATGACAAACTGCCAGACCGTGGCGGCAGCTCTGGGCAAGTTGACCTGTGACAAGAACCATGAGCACCAAGTCGTTGAAGGCACATCGGCCGGCATGTTGCCATCAATCCGTACTCAGGTATATCCCAACCGGTTGATTAGGATCATTTTAGGAGCAATGGCCCAACGTGAAGCAATTGCATGTCAGTGCATGGCCGTGAGTCAGGCAACAGTGCAGGGAGATTTGAAAGGCGAAGGTCGTAGGAGGGTTGAGAGAGCAATCAACAAGCTACATGTAAATTTAGGCCATGCATCAAGAGCCGATATGCTTCGAATCCTCCGACACCATCATGCCCAGGAGTCAGTGCTTGAACTAGTGAAGAGCTTTGAGTGCAGCGTTTGTCAAGCCCGGGTTGCACCAAAGGTGGCAAAGGAATCAGCGCCGCCGCGAGACATCGCACCACTGCGGTACATAGGTTTAGACGTCAAACATTTGCCATCTTGGAAACCACATGAGAAGATCAAAGCTCTAAATGTCGTGTGTCGCATGTCAGGTTTGCAACAGATGTATCCGTTCAAAGAGCAGGAAGCGGCGGAGGTCATCGGTAGGTTGTATCGCAACTGGACTAGATCGTATGGTCGGCCAAGGCATGTGAAGTTCGATGCAAGTCGGTGCAATCTTGGACAGACATTTCTAGACATGCTCGAGCGTGATGGCACCACACCTCTAGATATTCCTGGCGAAGCACATGAACAGATGGGAGACGTTGAGAGTCAGGGATGGCATTTTGAAGAGACCTTTCGTAGGGTTGTGGATCAGATGTCTCCCCAAGACTTTTGCAATGGCAGGAATGTGTGGATGTCACGATCGAAGCAAGAAATGCCTTGATGCGTCGGGCTGGTCACAGTCCCTTCCAGCTGGTCTTCGGCAGAGACCCTTGGCAGAGATCTGAATTTCCAGGAGACGACTTATGTTCGGAGCAACCTAATCCAATCAGCAATAGTGCCATTTTAGAAAATGCCATAGCTGAATACCAAAATCGAGCCAGAAGCGTAGCCAGGCAAGAGATGCTGCGTCAGCTCGATCACCGAGCAGCCAGAATTGCTTTGAACAGCAGACCACGACCACTTCGAGAGTTTCGGGTAGGTGATGAAGTAGCTATCTGGCGACGGGGTAAAGGAATAAAGAAGTCTAGTGCTGGCGAGGTCCAGGAATAGTTGCAGGTAGCGCTGGGCGTAACTACTGGGTATCAATGCCCCGGTCATTTGTCACGTGTGCTCCAGAGCAACTCAGAGGACCGCCGAAGAGAGGGAAGCAGATAGATTTCTGGTTCGGGACCTTCGATCTGCAGCAGCATCGCTTTGGCCGGAGGTAGGGCATTCCTATCGGCCCCACCAGAAATGTTATTTTGACATTACCGCTGAAGATGTTCCACCAGGTGACTTGACAAATCAATGTCAGACTTGGCGGATTGCCGACAAGACCAGGCACCCAATGCCGCCGGAACGGAACCACCTGTTGTTCCTAGGACGCCAGAGAACAGTGCCGTGCCAAGAACTCCGTCCTCGTTGGACAGACGTCTGAACGCTCAAGATCAAGAGGTGAAGAACACTCACCTGGAGAAGATCAAGACATTGAAAGCATCAGACGCAGTGAAAAGAGTCTGAGAGAACGTTTGAGCTATGTCATGGCAAGAGTCCGTGCGCAGAGCTGATCGACTGGATGGACATGTTCGAAAGGAACACCCAGAGCAGACTGAAACCATGCCGGAGAAACGTCAGAGAACAGTGGAACCACAAGTTGTTGGGGGACAGACATTTCCACCATCACTTCCACATCCGGTAAACCCACAAGTCTTGCCAGATGCCATCCCTGTCCCGAGTTCCGGTTCTATAGTGCAAGTTCGCATGACATGGATTGGTACCTAAGGTCCATTGTGTGCATGATTCATGTCAAAATGCTGTTGCCTTCTCCACTGCGGAAGAATGCGAAGACTTTGTTTTGTGCACGGACCATGAATCCGATCAGGTGCTTCTTGCCGGAGGTAGGAATGAACTGGATCTCAAGCTAGACAAATGGACGAGCGCAGACGGCAAACGAAAGCTTGTGGCAGGAATCCGGAAAGAAGTCCAAAACGTAGTAGAAGACAAGCAGGCCCTTCGACCTTTGTCAATCGAACAGTCCAGGCAGACAGAACCAGACCGCATCGTGCCCAGCAAGCTAGTACTCGTTGAAAAGCTAGACGATACTGGAGAAGAGCTAGTAAAGGCCCGATGGACTGCTAGAGGTGATAAGGACCCTGATCTGTTGGCACTAGTAAGGCAAGGAAGCGCCCAGTCACCGACCATCTCCTCGAACGGTCGATACACGGTTCTTCAA